GAAATTTTGATTAAAATAATACGATAAAATAGTTCATGAGTCAATGTTATTAAAATTATGAGAATGTTACATATTTTGATGTAATTGATACTATGGTGTTTTTGAATCTGCATTCTACGTTAGAATTTTGCGAGGAAAAATCTATTGTTTCGGTTGCTTGTGTTTAAAAATAGAAATTGCCGATATTGTCCTAATATTCTAGGCTTACAATAAATTATGATTAACGTATATATTGTCTAAAATTCTGCTTGGCAATAGCAATTTTCAACTAGAAAGATACTTCGATGTAATAATCTTGTCTCAAAATCCTTGTTTGAATAAATTAATGAACGGTGAATTTGAAATTAAATTAGTTCAAAGAATTTACCAATACGACAGTACTGAATTCTTTGTGTGATTTTTCTTTCATTAACATAAACCCCTATATTTTAACTTAACTTTAATTGCACTAAATGACAAATTTATTACATTTATCGCGTTGGCGTAAGGTCAAATGCGCGACTTTACGTCTGTCTTTATCAGTGCCAAATTATCACATCAAGGCAATTACGCCGAATTTTCATACTAATATGAACGATATCTCGTGACAAAGGTGAAAAGCAGCAGGTTTGGTCATTTCTAATTGGTAGTTGAGCTAAAACGAATGCATGTTTGACCTCATATTCCCAGAATCATTAAAATTAAACTTCAACTAGTTTAGCAGAATAAGCTCGAGATAATGGTTATTCTCTGCATATACGCCCGATCGGTAGGAAATTGGAATGCTACATACTAAATATAATAAAAATTATTATTAATTTTTTGGCATACATTGTTTATATTTAGTACCTGCTAATGGGATAATCAGAAATGAAAGATCCAGAGAAAACCAAAAATGGAAATTTACAAATACAATGTACCGAGACACTTATCTCGAATTTATGGGAAATTTTTGATCTAATGAAATTTGTTTACACACACTCATTGAATTTCTCCAAGCTCAATTGGAAACGAGGCATCTACACAGACTCAAACTAGAGAAACCTTTTTTTGATGCACTGAATGTAAAGAAGTCACAACTAGAAAATTATCTGATAAAAATTAAGTAATTTAATGAACTCTTACTGGTATGAAACTGTGCATTCCATAAAAACGAGGACGTTAGATGCCTGGACTCCTGGAAGAGAAATGATAACTTGAGTGCTGCCACGAAATAAATTAAGAATATATTTGTCGCGCACATATACAGTAGAGCTTGACTGCAATTAAAAATTGAAAACATAAACGTTGAATAGTTGTAGTTTGCGCGTCAAGTCCAACAGTTCAAAAAAGTTTATGATAAAGTATTTTAATAACGAACGTTCCGCAGCATTTAAAAATAATTACGTGAAAAATTGTCACGAACTTCTCCAAAAAACAAAGACGATATGTTAGACTGAAATTCGTTATGTGGAATTTATACTAATTAAATTCCTACCCCTAATATAATTGAATGTAATCAATCATGAAAAAGCAGATTTTTCAATGCATTGAAAATGCTGAATTATGTAGCACCCCAAGTTGATCGTGCACAGAATCGAAGTTTGTCGGGTCGGATCTTTGAAGGCAAAGCATCTAACGAGCAAACAAATGCCTTTTAATTTGCAAAATTGGAGTTGAAATTTGTATAGTATGCTTTGATATGGTGCTTTAATCTGAGGATTTGTATCCGGTAATGCGGTTGTGGTTTTCAAGTGCAGAACGAAGTCAAAACCTGCAATTGAGGTGAAGCAAATTGAAGGTCTCAATTAACGAAAGTGCTCCTTGTGGAAATGCTTCGAGAAATGAGCTAATGAGATTCTGCAGTAAATTTTGTAGTGATGACTTAGTATTAGTTGAGCCAAATTATCTAACAAATTTTGCTGTATAGAGGTTTGCTGTATAGAGGTGATATCGGCTGTGTTTCATCAGAATTACGATGCCTGGTGCAATTTTCTTGAGCCGCTTTTTTTACTGCTTTTTTTTTCGAGTAAATTTTATTTTTCGTTCTCTATTTGTGTGTGTTGTGAGTGTTGCTCAATAGTAATTTCATATATGAAAAATATAACAGCGTAAAAACGAGGCAGCATCTATTTTGCTTATAGCAACGCCATAATATCAAAAATTCGCTTATGGCAGATGAGCTCAGCCCTCTCACTTTAAGTAGATTTTTTGGGAAAATAAATTTTATGTAAAAATGGTTGTTTCATATTAGTGATCATATAAGGCATAAGCATTACATACCGCCTAGTATTTCGGTATATTCTTGGGTCGCGAGATTTTACAAAATTCCTTTTTTTTTTCAAAAAAATTTTATCGCTTGAAAAAAAGGTTTGGAACCACTGATACAGTGTCATCTAAATGAAAAAAATTGTATACAAAGTAACAATAATACTTCGGAATGAGGCAATTATTTAGGCATTCGATAAGAGTATTTATTTTAAAAAAGGTAAATACATAAATATCACTACCTAGCGATGAAACATAAAAACTATGTCTTCTGCATATAGCGATGAACTTTTAATCCTTTCAATTTCTTGGAAACAAAAACCAACTAAATTGTTATTCTACCTTAAGAATGATTCTACCCGGAGATTAATAAGTAATTTGTCAGTTGACGACCACATAACTTAATAAACGCCTACGTGAAATCAACCACTAAAGACTATACAAGAGCACAGTCATTGCGATGTATTCGATAGAACAGACATAAGCTGAATGCAAGAATTTCATATCTGAACTGTTTTCATTTTATTTCCTCTATTTTGATTGGGTAAGCCGGATTACATTTTAGATCCAATTGGGCGTGTAGAACAAGCAGTAAACCCACGCTTTCTACATAAGGTTATCCATGCACTCATAGTGAACATAAGTGTACGTTACTATTAAATATTCAATTATGAATTTATATTTGTATATTTGTGATACAGAATTATATTTGATTTCAACCGACTGAGTGATGAAAGATTCCCAATCAACGCTTAATACAAATACTCATGCCTTATGGAATGTGGGCTTTATTCAAAATATTCTTTTATCTCAAAATAATCTTAATTAGTGATATTCTGGTCAGCGGTGCTTCTTTTGATCTTAGGCTTGTATGAATAAAAATATGCAAATTTTAAAAATATGTAATAATAAATTTAAAAGAAAAGCTGACGTCGCATGATGCGCCATTAATTTCTTCCGGAAACAACCCTTACGTTTTGACGTATACGCAATCACGAAACCGTGCGTAAGGTATCGAATTGTTAGGGATCAAACTTGTGCAGACATGATCGTATTATTTATTAATCCTGTGTAAATTAGTTTACAATGAACAAAGATTTAATATATGATTATTAATCAGAAATCAGTTTAAAATGACATTACATAGTGCCAACATCTTAAGTCATATCATCATTAGGAATGAGTGAATATTTTAAACGTGCATTACTATATAGGATTTGCATAGAAAAGTACATTGTTATTTGCACGGAATAGAAGATCATTCAAAAAATTGGGTTAAAAGTTATTTAATATGTGATAGAGACATGTTATTTAACTAGTGAAATACACACGTGGGCAGTTCTGATTGCTATGGGCCAGTTCATTGGTAAACTGTAGAAGAGCTTCATATTATTTATAAATTTCTTTGCTACCAACTTTTGAATGGTAGTACAGTAAAGCTGTTGGAAATTGGGTATAACTTTATAGTTTAGTGTTTAGAAGAACATAAAGAAAAAAATTCAGTTTTACTTCAAGTCGTGGTCATCACGGTGTAAGAGTACATTGGCATTTATAATTGAAGGTAAAATTTGTGGTAAATTATATAAAGCACAGCTTCATAACATTAGAAAAAAGCATGCATGCAAATTTTGAAAACGATTTTTTCAATTTCATTTCGAAACGAAGATTCATTGTCATCGGTAAAAAAATTCTAGGTAACTTGTTTTTTGTATAAACTATTTAATTGATAATCACACCGTTCTTAGCCCTAAAGCCATTTTTCAAATATTTGAACTTTTTTTGTCAAATAATTACTGCCCTAAATTACACGGACTCGTCGCTGAAAAGGTTAGTTAAGTTTTTTCGGACAGTGGTTGGACATCTTAATGATTAAAATATGAGACAAAAATATTGCAGGTCATATTTACGCAATTGATAGTTGACGCAAAATATAGCTTTATTGTTCAAGTGTGTACAAGTCAGAATGCTGAAGTTATTCAACGTTACAAAGGCTGTTTTAAAGTGTATACGCAAAGAAAAATGCGTATTCATTATTTTATCATGTACTCATAGTTTTTATATTTATTTGTGGAGGCAAATGGACATTTAAAGGTTTGTTCGTAAATGTCATATTATGATAAAACCTATTTCCAATATGAGTATATTTCTAATTAAAGTGTTCTAAGTTTGCACTCAATTAAAAAACGTAAGTCTGTTTAACCACAATCGATGATGTTTATGATCCGCATTTTTTAAAAAATAAACAAATCAGACATTTCGAGAATAAATTCATATTTCTTCGAATTTTTTTTACCCACATTGTTTAAACAATTTGTTTTAAACAATTATATTTCGACAGGCTGATACATGGAAAAAAGTTGTTGATAAATTACAATCCGCTAAATCAAATAAATATTGAAAATAATTAGAAAAAGGGCGCTGTTGGTTTAGGAATATATAAATACAAAAAAATATATTTAACTAAATATGAATTCTGACAAAGAAGGGTTGGCGGTTTTTCCACGCTGTATATGTATGTATATATATAGTAAAAACGAGTTTGTCTAGTCAGAAATCAAATGAAACAGTGAGGTGCCGTGGCGCAATTTTATTTAAGGAAAGAGCGAGTGTTATGATCAGGTTTACAGCGTAACTATTTCAGATATCAGGCTTCAATCGTACAACGTACACATTGTTCTTAGTTTCTGACATAGGCAAGTTACACATTTTCATGGTATTTGATAAAAATATTTGTATATTATATATTTCACTAATTTATTTACCTTTAATAATTATTCAATTTTTAGTTTAATATTAATAAATACTCAGCAAATACAACATAGTCAATATGAAATCGGCAACAAATATGAGATTTATTTTATTCACTTCAACGTTATTATATCTTATCGGAGCATCACACGGTATGTATTGTTAATTTTATGACTACAAATTAAATTATATATAAAAAATTGAAAATAATTTGCAAAGTCGTCTTGTCACAGTAACTATGGCTTGCATGTACGCACTTGTCTAATTTAATTCTATATAATGGACATATATGAATTCAACAAATGTCAGATATTATACAGCATATTATGCTCTTTTTTAGCCAAAAAAAATTTATTAATGTCATGAATTTGTCCAAAAGGAAGTTTTATAACAGCTATCGCAACTTATTGTCATCAGGATATTAAACAGAAAAGGTACCAGTGTTTTATATTTTAGGATGTCATGTTGGGCACAAACGAAGAAGGATGTTCGAAAGCAAAGATCGATTAATTCGATATTTCTCAGAATGCATGACTTCGATGGCAGGAACAAAGTATAGATGGGAGGCAATTGTGCGATTTTCAATCTACGACACGGAATGGTATCCTTCATCTGGAAATCAATTTTGCAGGTGAGGGTGTGTCCCAAACAACGAAAAATGAGATGTTGAAGTCCAGAAAATTAATTGAAACAATATTTAAAAAATGCAACATTCATTTTTATGTTTTTTTTCTTCAATTTCATCAATGTCGATTAGAAATATCGTTGATCGTAATATCGATATCAAAGTCACAGTTAAATCACAATGGTAATATTAATCGCGCCTACGTATTTCGTGAGAGCGACCGTTTAGTTTCAATTAACCACTTCAAAATCCACGGAGAGAATGACATGACCTTTGAATGTGGTTTCTGATTCCTACGCTCGATCTTAAATAATTATTTGGTGAGGATTAATTACTGGTCAAATTATATCGAATTCTTATGGCAATTGACGTTGGGACTTTTGTAACGGACAATTTTAAATGGAGAAATGTTTGTAGGCTTCTATTCGATACATTGATATCTAAAGACTAAGCGGAGTAATTATATTCAATTATATTGAAAATTGAAATAATTTTATTTAAAATTGTTATTAAAATTAAAAATATCGAAACATGTTTTCGAAAATTAACAAGCGTCAAATATTGACGCTATTGACCAAATTTGGATATAGTCCAATCGAACAAAATCACAATTTATTCAAATTCATGACAAGTTAAAATATCGTTAAATAAGACTGAATATATATATTATGTGTTTCAGTAAGTGGGATAAAGCGCATTTAATTATTTAACATTTGGCGTATAATATATTAATCATTCCGTATAGTGTGTTGTTTGACTTGAACATTTGGATATTTTTATTTAGGCAAAACAATTTTGTATTTTAAATTGCAAGTGTTTCCACTTTTAAGTACTGAATACTTCAAATCGATATTCCTATTAGTTGGGGAGAAAAGCGATATTTCGACCACAACAACAATGTTGCAAGACGATACCTGGGCCTACATCCTATAAACAACCAGTTACAATCGTAGTTATTATAATTAGTTATTTTTAAAATATGTAAAAATTCAATTTATTTTCAATTTCAGTAAAAAACAGGACACATATGACTGCTGGAAAAGCCAAGTAGACTTTCTTATTGACCCATCATCTATTTACGGACTTTTTCTAAAAGATTGTATCAAAAAGTATACGGATGAACAAATGCGATCAATCGATTACATTCTGGAAGATGACTCCGACTATTTGCAAGGTTTGTCATTCTCAGTTTTCGCTCACAGGAAATCATAATTGTCAGTTATAACAAAATACGAATTCTGACATAACTGCTAATTGAATGAAACATTCGTTGACTCTGCGGCACTAACGTATGGAATTACGAAGACTTTTTCGGTCATTCGCCATAACTGCAATAGCGAACCTTTTAAATACACAAGTAAATTAAAATAAATCGGTCAAATTCATCTCAAAGTATTTTATCATCGAGATGCTATGAAAATACGTTCAAATATTTGTTATGTTCTATTTACAGTGGTGCGATCTGGGCGAGCGAAACGTGCAATCTCATACAAGGATTTCCTGGTTTTGCTTATGTCCACGTGGAGGCAAAAAATGCAGCAACAAACTAGATCTGGATTATCTCAAGTGCATATGAACAACAATATCCGTTCCCCTTTGCCCGTTTTACACTCACCGTCGCCTGTTGTAGTTTCAGCACCAGCTGTTGCACGTTCACCATCACTCGTTCCACAAACTCCACCGCCTCCTGCAATGAATATTCCACCAGTATCCGCACCAGTCTCGCCGCAATTTTATCAACAACCGATCCCAAAAATGTACGTACCAACACCAAAGGTAAATGGTCCCACATTGGTGTCAAATAATTACCATGTTCCCCAGCAAACCTTCGATGCGGATGCCAACTCGCGACCGGACACACCAATGCATTTCAGTCCCAAAATAAGTCACAACAATCCGCCAATGCCTGTCAGTACGGCTTGGCCAGTGAGCTACCGGTCTACAACAATGAATCCAAAGTTTGCTCATACAAAACCGAATGAAGCAAGTCACAACAGTAAAAAAGATTCAACACACCAACACACTTCTTGGCGTCCAACACACAAAACGAATACACGGCCTACTACTGCAATACCAAAGAGAGTGGAGACGGCTGACCCGTTTCATGTCCTCCTCCGTTATCATGAAACAAGCACTCCACCATTACCCGTTTCATCCACTTCTTCAGGAGTCCAAAAAGCAATGGGATTAATAGATATTTTGCAATTGATAAATGAACGGAAAAATCTCGAGCCGGGCAAAAACAGTGGTAAGCGAGTTTTCTAATTTAGAGAATAAGATTGGAATGAAAAACTACATTTCATCTGGTATTTGATGACTATTTGCTGGTCTCTTTTCTCAAAGAATAATAAATAACATTAAATCGTTGTTTTACAGTAATGCCACGTGTAGTAACCAGCAATTTCTGTGACGAAGAAGCGACGGAAAGGTTTACTCAGTGCGTTGGTGAAAAAGTCAGTACTGAAGAAATGAAGAGAAGCAGTTTATTTATTTCTGCAAAATATCTATCTAAAGAAGATATGGAATCAGTTGTCAAATTTTTTGAAGAAAATCATTCATCTTGCCAGTAAGTAGTGTTTTTTCGCTCTATAAAAATAAACCAAATTCAATACTTAGTGACTGCCGAAATGAGTATTTCAACTCCATGTAACTATTTTCGGAAATAAAGTGAATATCTACAATAAAAAGCTCGGTATGAGTAGCTTTAATACGGCTATTGAATACAATTTTTAAGAACAGATAATTTTTTGAGCTCGAAGAGAAAGATTCTACTTTGGAAAGTTTCCATATGACAATAGTATAAAAGCGATAGGTGCTACGAAATTGTAATTAAATTGATTACAACACCAACTTTTCAAAATAAAACTTTTTTAAACACTCATTAAATTTGATTTCAAATATTAATCATCAATGGTATTTCAACAGGTCGTTGGTTGTACAGGATACTGAAGGAAACATCAAAATACGGGAATGCAAAGCCGCTTCTGTACAACAATCATCCTGTATACCTTCAGTAATGTTGCAACTTGTAAAACACGATTCTCGTCTAAGAAGCATTTTATTGTCTTGTGCTTCGTAATTTCGATGATGATAAGATTAAATATATTGAAGCCTAAAAAGTATGAATGAACTTCGATTGTCGAAGTAATAACTGCAGTAGAGGAACTGCCAAAGAGAAGAATCGAAGATTCGGCGTTTTTGTATATTTGGCGCCAAAAAACATTGCAACTTTTACCTGTATTTGCATTTAGTTCAAAACTGTTTTGGTAATACAGTGAAAAGTTCTTGTTTATAGTCCAAGACTAAGCCAGCATAAATATTATGCTCTGATAATAAACAATTCAATATCGAACATTACTTGTTTGGATAATGACCAACACCGCGGTTAAAGTGCCTAATGAAGTGTGCCGTTATAAACCGGATTGGAAATGGGCATCTTCAAAGGTTCCGTGTATTGCTATATTAATATTTTCCAATATTTTATTTATTCCAAAGTTTCATGTTTCATTGTTCTTCCTTATTCTCACTTCCATTATTTGACACAGGCATCTAGAGCTGCCCTTTATTTTTACCATGCAATTTAATAAATCAATTTATGACAATTATCAATTTAAGTGTTTAATGTTTTGTCTTACAAGTTTAGACAGTGATCAGGTATTGGTCTTCTACAAATGTTTTCAGAAGAAAAATTTTATAATAGTGCTAAAATGTCTAAAATGTGTAAAACCAGTAAGAAAAAAATTCTGCAAACATTGAGAAAGAGAAATCGAAGTTTCCTGATATCATAGATTTCCAATACATGCGGAGGACCTTTTTCTACCACTCTAAATCATACATATTCCATGATAAAAATATTGAAAAAATAATGGAAAAAAAATGCAAATTGCATACCAAATATACTCGAAAATTAATCTGAGACATCACATCTTAAATGACTTGGTCTGAATTGAAAAAAGACATTGTCCGCCACAAAATAATAATATTAAAATGCAGTTGTACATTTTCATGTAGATAAAGGCAGTTTTTGTATACGCTATACGCAATATATCTTAGGAAGGAGGCTCACAATTTTGTGCGGTGAAAATCATTTTTCTGTAATAACTTTCACCGGAGGGCTTGTTATAAAAGTTCTATCAAAACATACGATCAAAACTTACATTATTTTTCCAATATGGATTTATATCGGCAATCCAATATTTTTCTGGTATGAAAGATCTAAATTTTTCAGCATAGCTTGTATTAAACAAACATCAGTTAACATTTGGACACACACCTTGAAAGCATGAACGTGTAAATAAACCTAAAATTTAACAACATGTACGACAAAACAGAAAGAATGTGTTCCGCACGTGCAAAAATGTCAACCTTAACATACCAAAGGGTTTACCTTCTACTATCTCTATTAAGAGTAAATTAGGATACCAGCTTTAATTTAAATCAAACTTCATAAGGTCATGGTATTAATGATTCATTTATTTACAGGGATATCCGACCCAACTATATTGTAATGAAAAATCATATCCAAAACAAAATCAGCTTCTTCGTGAAAATGCTAATATAGAAAAGACTTTTTTTTTTATAAGCATTAAGATATATGAAGTGAAGCGTTGGTCTGAAAAAATCTGTATACATATGTGTCATACTGCTTCTTTGAACTTCTTTTATAAATTGTTTTTGAGTATGAGATCAATATTTGAGATGATTTCGCTAAGTTAACCAACGACGTGTGCAGTTTACATTCGATTTTACGGATACGCCCTCCAATTACGACAATCTCTTTTAATGTTTCATCAATGTTTTATTTTTCTAGAACCAGGGGTTAAGACCTTGTTACCTTGTCGAGTACCTTTCATAAAAATGTGAAAAAAAAAATTCAGTGCTTCAGGGGGTTACATTTACGCATTGTTTGCGTGAACAAGTGTTTTACAATTGAGAATTGAAGTAAATGAAAAAAATAAACGAATGTATCCAAAGCATAAAACACCATGACTGCCCTTGAATATATTGTTAACGTTTTATGATATCTTTTGTAAACACAAATAAAGAGTTTTGTATACAAAGCTGAAGGTAAGAAAAATATTTACTTTCCAAATAAAATATTGAAAAACAGTTGAAAAACATACAATATTACCTGATAATGTAGAAAAACGTCTGGTACAAATATACAAAGTACATTAAAACGACTCCATAATATAAAAATTGAGATTTTTTTCCTATGAATCTTCAATAAAAACTGAGATATCAAATATGTGAATAATAAAAACAAAACATTATTATGAAGATAAAAAAAATAAAGTCATTTTTTGCTATTGTTAATTATATCGTTACCACGAAACCGAATTTTCTAAATTCCTGAAAATCAAACAGTCTATGAGATTTATAAAAAAATTTATTGTATCTTCTGATCAAATGAACTTCAAACTCTATTTCAACTTACAACAAGCAGCCTAAAGGCGCGGAAACATAAACATACTTACAAGTAAGTAAACACAAACAAACATGAAAAAATTAATGTAAACATACATAACATATGTTTATGAAATTGAAAGTATTGATTGATAAGTGCAATATAAGCCAACAATCTTTGACATTAGCAATAATTTTTTATTTTCATAAAGGACTTGCGGAACGCAGCGCATCAGGTTTTATTTAATTTTGATGATTTTGCAAGATGGTAATCTGAAGAAAACGGTAAGAACGAACACTGAATCTCTTAATTTGTCGCCTTTCAATAAGACATTCAATTGTGAAATTTGTTCCTGAAGCTGGAAATAAAAAGTTTCCCGTAAAGGCGCAACTGAAAATAAAATACAACAATTGATAAATAAAAATGTACGCATGCAATGAATATTTGCAATATATAAACCATAGCAAACTCAGAATAGTTCTTCATTTCCATTCTGGATTGAAATATGAAAAACAAAATTGTTTCAATACTGTGAAGGAAGGTTTTGGTCTCTCTGTTTTATGCAATTTCATAATCCATTTTTTCTAACTTTCATGTACAATTTAAATTTCGAAAATCTCTATTTACATCCCCACCCACTAAAGCACGTCAAGAATATGGTTCACTAATACCGTGTTAATGATACAGTACGCTATCGTTAAATTATTTTTAATAATTGTAAAGATCTCGTAATCTCGAAGTCGTATATTTGTTTATTTACTCCTGTGCACACTCCTTTAATTGTTTGTGGTTAAAAATTCTATACATGTACGATTTACGATAAGCAAGCAATTTAGGTAAGCAATTTACAGAACATTAGCGTTAACGGCAGTTGCGATGAACTTGTTAAGACAAATATAGAACGAAAGAATAGTCTTGCTAGTTTTTGGTCGAAAATATAAAGACTGATATTATTCTAGGTTAATGCATTGTGGCAAATGATCCCCAAGGCATGGTGACATGTGACATAATTATAAAGAAAAACATTTTCAAAGTGTACTTCCCTTGAAAGATAATGGATTCTCAAATCACCAGCGTTGTTTTTCAAATGAATGATATCAAGAAGGCTGTTTCAAATCAACTTTAATCATAATTGAAAACTCAATGGAGCGCATCGTTTCACGACACAGCGGAGTGGCCGACTAGAAGTGGGTAATTTTGGTGATGTTATCAACAGCTTTTTCACAATCCCACAAGGATATTTTCAACTTCAATGGTTGACGGAAATGCCTTGTGCGATTCTTCAGGAACTGGAGGTTCCTAAATATTCCATCAAAAACTTCATCACAATGAGCTTAAAACAACGTTTGAAAATAAAATTAAACGCGCGTGCAACGATATGACTTTTTAAAAGATAAAAGAATAATGGTCAAATACAATTCTGCCAAAGACAGATGATGTTGCTTGATTGTCTCATGAGCCGTTGATTTGGCCCGGTCAAAATTCTCTATAAACTCCCGATCGCTGTTGGTGATAACTGTTCGTACTCAACAGAATAAACAACTTTTACACAATTGATATCGAATCCGAAAAGAAACATATTAAAGTAAGAGAATTTCGGGAGCCTCTGAAAGAAAGATAAACAGTTACTTGGTACATTTAAATAGCTTTGATATAAGACAAAATAGACTGTAGAATCTTGTTATGACAGTTTGCTAAATATACAGGCGTTATATCCATGCTTCTCTAGCGACCTACAGTGGTTTAATGCAGCACTATCGAAAGTTTGAGAAGTGTGAAGATAGTTGATATATATTTTTTTATAAGTATACTGCATCTTAGTTTTCTTTATTATATTCGTACACTTATATTCACTTGACTGAAGAGAGTAGTGTTTTTTTGCAACTCATAATCGGTGTCTGTAAATGAATTATTATGAATTATACTTCAGGAAGTGTTCGATGTTATATCTGAAAACAATAATTTGTTCCGCAGCGATAATTTACCACAACAAACCACATCAAATACCAATTTACGGAGTGCAGTGTATAACCCAGGGATGGGCGACGGCCCGCGACAAGATTTTGACCGGCCCGCTGACTGTATCCAACCACACTCTGTAATGTGGTCCGACGCATCATTTTTGAAAGTTGCCGACCGCTCTACTCTAACCGCACTGTCAGTGCGAACTGGTAGAATGAACAATTGCCTTAGTGAACAAACAATTGCGTTAGCACACTTGTTAAGCGAACAATATAAGGTCAAAGCAGAGAGCGTTGTAAGCATTCCCCACTACTGTTATCAGTTATGTTTAGATTCTAAATATAAATAGATTTTAAAAATTAGATTTCATATTAAGTTTTATTACCCATGGAATATCCCAAAAAACGTAAAGTTGACAGAGAGTAGTATTTTTTGTAATAATCCGACCCGCCGAGGACTACATTTTCCCACATCTGGCCCGCCGACTAGAGAAGTTGCCCACCTAGGGTTGCCAATTATGGAAAGTCTCAATAAAGGACATAGATTACTGTCATCATTTATTTTGTAACTTGCAGGAAATAACAATATATAACAATGAAATCAAATTATATACAAGCTATAAAGATATATTAAAAAATCTCCATGTGTTTTTCATTTAATGTTTATTTAACATTGACCCAATCAAGCTGCATTCTGTGAACAGTTTAGTGCTTTGAATCCTACCAAATTTTTTTGAATGAGTGCAACTTCATCAAATAGATCAAACATATTCGAATTAAGTTTGTCTTTTAGCTTTAAATGCTCTACAATTTTTACAAGTGTCTGATATTTTGGAGAAAGATTATTCAAAAGAGATAATTTTCCAAATGTTGAATTTTCACCAAAGTCAAATCTTTTTTCCTAATACGTTATCGCAGAGTTAGGTAATCTAAAATCTTAGAGACCAATTATACATAGAATTTTCAGTTATTGAACTAGAATTCACTCAAATCTTGGAGTGTCGCCATTTGCCACCTTCGGAAAATTAATGTAAAATATATATTTGAAACTGTTAATAAAATTGGTATATCTTTGGCTATTTGAGCCGTACCAAAGCGAAATTAAAAAGAATATTTAAAAGCTTGCAAATACATAAACGGAGGCGATTTACAAACGAAACAATATAAAACACAGTACTATACCTATCGGGCAGAACGACGTTGGAAAAAATAAAGGACAATTATCATCTTAAAAAGGACAAGGACAAAAATCTCAAATAAAGGATTGTCCTTTGAAATAAAGGTCGGTTGGCAACCCTATGCCCTCCCCTGGTATGGACAGCCATAACAATAATAAACCAGCTGGTCACTTGCAAATTTAGATAGACGTAAATGAATAGTAAAAGACGGACTCAAGGTTCGAATTTATGATATATATAAATTTAACCAAGTTATGACAAATTAAAAAGTTGAACCCGTATATATCGGTGATTGAACCTTTTTTTTTACGAACGTTTTGAGTGTCCGAGTCAATCGAATCGCAGTATCAAATATCACGTCTTGTCAGATCGACATAAAAATAGACTCAACGAAACTCATTTTGTTAGCAAATGGAAAATAATGAGAGTAATTTAGAAGTTAAAAATTTATTCTGGCATGGTGTTCTAAACAGCAGTATAAATGGCATTTTTGGGTAAGGGCAATCAATGGGTAATGGCTAATTGAAAAGCGATATAGTTCTTGGTCAAATAGAAAAGCACAATGCTAAATTGTTGTCGCCTTTATTGTTTGATTTGGTAGTTTGAAAAAGTTGTAACATGAATTACCTCGATAACGTATTATTTTTTACAGTATATTTATCGTGTTATTCAATATCTTTCCAAAGCATTTTACAAAAACCAAATCCCTATGACGAAGCACAAGCGCTACCCCTGGGGGCAAAAACTTTCTTACATCTTTTATGCATATATTCGACGACATAATCGAGAAATCTGTTGTTACGATTGACCTATAAGTTGTAATTCAAGATTTGGATGTACCACTGCTCGTCGGGAGTGTGGATGTTTAGCAAAAGAAAATGAAGAATATATTTTGTTTGACGATTGTGATGATACAAACTTTCACCTATGTTGAAGGTATCTCGTTTATATATAAAAATCATTTTAATTGAATTTCGTAGTAGGCATAAATATTATATTTTAGATCAATACAATCACCTAAGCAAATGTGTATCATAGTTACAGATTTTACAGCTACTGCATCGCGGAATTCGATGAGAAGCAGATTATGTAAAGAAAAATATTCCATATAACGTTCCACATTATTATGATTTTACTATCTAATTTCAGGATGTAGACAGAAATGTCAAGAAGAGGGAATTTTGGGAAGTATCAGACCTTTTTTCACGATATGCATGCAAGAAAAATTAGGAGCTGTAAAGTCGTGGAAATATATTGTAGATTATGTGGTATGGGATGATCTATGGTTTACAGCAACTGACGAATTTTATTGCAAGTATGTTTATTTTATTAAAATGTTTTTGGTGCATTTGAAATTATAAATATCCAATTTATTCGATAAATATGATGATGAAAAATTAATATTGTACATAATGAGGTTTTTCTCAATTTACCTAATTATTAAATCATGGCTGTAACATAGATGTCATCAATGTAACGTGTAAGGATGGTCGTTTCTATCACGTAAGCTCTTACGCCAAATCCAGTTGCTGGTGTACCTACAAAGTTCGGAGTAAGATTGAACTGGAAATGTAAAGATAGTTGGGATAATCCACAAATTCATCAGAATTTCAAATATGCAAAACTGAAAAAACATTTTGTAATGATAATTTAGAGACAAAGATGAGTCTTGTTGGATAGAACAAGCAAATCATTTCCTTTTGCCAACGTCGAGCTACTTGATTCCACTGAAAGAATGCATAAACGAATATGCAGGTAGGTAGTCGATTCGAGCGATTGTACCAAAATGTCACCGAATTTGTACCAAACTATTAACAAAAATTGGAATAATTTGACTAAAGATTTTTTGTAGATCAAAACAAAATTGACCTAGTCATTGTGAACCATCTTGTTTTGAATCTAATCGGTTTTCTTTATTCGCTGTAATATATTTTCATTTTTAGCATTTCATTTTATGAAAATCCACAACATAAACAATAAGTTTTAGCCAAATGTACAAAGAATTCATTGAACTTCACAATTATGTTAAAACAACAACAGACGATAAAAAAAACTAAGTGTTAATAAAAAAGTTAAGTGGCAAAAAGTGACATAGTCAGGTATATATAGGGAATGGGAAATTGACTCATCAAAGAGGCTATAATATTCCGCTGGAGTAAGAAAAGAACAAACTTGAATTTAGTAAACTTTCTAAATTAGGCCGTCTCCAAGTTACAGCCTACCTTTATTCTCGTGAAAATGCAAAATATGTTCAAGTTTCAAAAACATCCGCCTCAGAAACTCAATTTTTATGTTTGGCATTTAAAAAATTATATGAAATGTGTGTTAATCTGTGGAGACACCATTCGACCATATAACGTTTCTTTCAACTTATTCATTGTTTCTAAAGAATAATTTGATTTTAACAGCCAATCCACTCAACACTACGAGACCTTGTGAAAAAGTTGGGACGGAAGTATTCAGACCTAAAATTTTTCAAAAGTTTACCACAATGAGCTCTTGTCCGATATCAAGGACTCAATATGTTGTCTGTCTCACATCAGCCGCTTTGTCTATGACTCGAACTATTTCATCTAAACCAGGAGATGAGGTTATCGCTCCCAAATATAACTTCATTGATCTTTCAGCGTTTTTAACCAATCATAGATCAAACTGCAGGTAGGTTTGAATATTGAGAGTATTGTTAATCACATTCTATGCAGTATCCAAAATATCATTAAGTCAAATCAAGTCATAAGTTAAGAAAAACTAGATTAAATATTGAATTAATTGAAAAATACTTGAAATAGACTGTCATACTAAGATTAACAATGAGTTATTAAAGTTAACAAAGTAATCAACCAGTAGAATACCTCCCTACAAAATGAAACGTACATTTTTTAAATTTATGAGATTCAAAACTTTCGTTGCGAACCGTCATCTATATTTGTGACACCAAGACCAACATAGTTCTTATTAATATTACACTACTAATGTAAGCTAGTTAAAATCGTTTTTTTATTTTATTTTAGAATTACATATTACCGATCGAAAACGTATGTAACAACATGCGCAAAAAAGAACGCGCCAACAAGTACCAAATTCAAACCAGTTAGTCCTGTGAGAGGAAAGCGAGCACTAAGTCTGAAAGATATATTGAAGCAAGCATCTGGTGGACGGCTCAATATACGAGTATCTTCATCGGGGGCATCTAGAATTCTGCCATCCGGGCCTCTTGTTCCAAAGATATCAAGCGCTCCTAAATGTTTTGCCAGGAAGCTACAGCTAGTGATAAAACCACGCACAGTTCTCAGCGCATCAGTGTCGAGATGCAACGTTGAGGCGACAAAGCAGGTCACAAGAAGAGTATCTGTCGCTTTCAAAATAGGAAAAAAGATAAAAGTTGGTAAGATGAGATGATGGTATCAGATATCTCTTCTTGAGACAGTTAAAGTCAGAGTGTATGTTCAAAAAGATGTGAAAAACACTTCATAGATAGATTATTTCTCATTGTTTGTTCCATAAACAGCTAATAGGGTAACTAAACCTAATTACTACTTCGTCATTGTTTTGTTGTTTGATGACTGTAAACAATTGTTTTCAGAACCTGGACAGAAAGGAAAGTGTATGCCAGAACAAGTGTGGACTCAGTGGTATAACATAGACACGCCTGGTGGAAGTGGAGACATGGAATATTTTTCTAGAATTAGAAGAAAAAATATAACTGACGTTTGTTACAATCCAAGTGCAGTCCAAGCTCTAGTAGCAAAAACCGACGAGCCCTATACAAAGACTGGACAGAAACTGAAAGTCGAACCAAGATTCGGATTGAGTTGTCATAACTACAAGCAAAAGAATAAAAAGTGTGATGATTATAAAGTCCGATTTTGTTGCCAAAAATTTGACTGAGCTTGCGATTTTAAGGCAAACGCATTCAATAACGACCTTATTAATGCGATTTCTCAAAATCAACACATAATAAATTAAAAACAGTGAAAGCAGACATTTGAAAGTACTTTTGTGTTGATTGAGCCAATTGGTGACTGCTTTGATGCGATGCGTTTACGAGGTTATTTATAAACGTTATTTATCTGCTTTTTGAAATTCCCGCGTACAATCTGAATGATTCCTTATCATCAAAAATATTTTTTCGATTTCTTCTTTACAAAATTATTTTTCATTTGAAATATATATGTAAATTCACAATTATACACAACGCCTAATCATCACGTTTACAAATTATATACAGTACATCTTATTTCGTTACGCGCTACTTTGTCATATTTCAAACTAACAGTATAGCATATATATATATTGAGAAAACTCTGTTTGATTTTATTCTCAGATTTCCACGATACACAGAATATAAATCTTATAACATTTATTCAGACTAGCTTAGAATGGTTTACATCGTCTTCTCTCTCCTTATCGAAAGATATCGGAGTCGTATTTATACGTTGATCATAAATCCAATTAAATGCTGTAAACGTGAGCTCGTGATTCACGTTATAAACAGAAACTCCTATTATCTCAATAAGGGTAATTAGGTACATCGTACGAATGGGAACTTAGATATAATTATTTCAATCAGTGCCAAAGGTCTTGAGAATATAGATTTTAATTTGATAATGACTGGATGGAACCTGTTATGTTTCTTAAACTGGTGTAATTTGATTCCTACGAAAGTCTTTGTTCGAATTTTGGGAAAAATTAACTTTGTCATGATGATTTCAACATGAAATGGGGTACATTTGGGGGTTAGTTGCTATATTATCTCCCCATCTTACTAACTGGAAGTTTAAAGATTTGGCATCCTCTAATAAATTGAAAATATATAGAAAAATACAATACACAATGCTAAAATTAATGATATAGGTCAAAAAAATATTTACATGTATATGATCTACAATGAGACGCGACATTGAAATAAAGAAGAGTTTATAGAAAGAGTAAAGATTGTAAAGTAGAATTACAGAAGGATGGCGTATTTTTATTTGAAAAATTTTGGTTTGGACGGTTAAAACATATTTTCAATTTAATGTATTTCGCTAAGTTAAAATACTTATACTCGCTTAATCGCATTGTTACGATTTTGTAGACCTAGTTGGTCAATATATGCTTGTCCCATGTCGGGAAGAAAAAACGCATTTTTAAGTTTATGCCATCTCAAGGCTTTTTTAAAAAAATAACGCTTTTGGATACAATTTTTGTTTAACGAGCTTATTATTTCACCGTTCTATATGACGGCTTTGTAAATAATTAAAAGTATGACTCGCTCGAATCTACTTTTAGAGAGCATTTTAATGATAACGAAATCTATTTAATCGAAAAGGAATGCTAACCACAAATATTCAATAATATAAATCTTTTTAAAGGTATTTGAAATTAGACTATTCAAAGTTGTACCATTAATTAATTTATAAAAATTGAAAACCGAATGAAACGCCATGTATATATATATAAGAAGAAAAAGAAGTACTTTACCTTAGTAATAGTGGAAGAATGAAAAATGTCTGTCTCAATGAGAAGAAAAACCTGCAAATCATGAAACAAATTGTAGAATTACATGCTCCTGATCTGTATATCCATTAGGTAAGCGCGACAATTTCTCTATTGTTCGGAATAGAGCGCGTAATTTACAGTAAAACAGTCCATATATATAGTTCATTGTTTTCAACAGTTCGTTTTTGATTAGGTTTTTCACCTCGAACATATATCATGTTTTAAAAGAGTTCATTTCGATCGATGTTCAATACAGTCCATATTCATGATTTTAACGTTTCCAGAGTCCGTTACCATAGTTCAACTGTTTTCAATTGAAATTATTGTCTTTTCATAATGTTTTTGATTATTTCGGCTTGTCAGCAATTTGCTACTTCAATCGTTGTTCCAGGCAATTTGAATCTCCCCGACGTTCGTAAGTTCGCACGTTTTGTAGAGACGGTTTCTCGGCAATTGTTGAAAGCTTTCGCTTGGTCAGTTTTTTTGGTTGATTCCGTCCAATTCTGTCCTGATTGTTGTCCGTTGATCTGGTCCGTTTCAGAAGGTTAATTCAAGTCGGTTTTGTCACCATTTATAGTATATGTGATTGGTCTATGAATGTGATGTTACCGTATATTGCTATTTCGTAGATTGTCTCAGAACTCGCAAGTCACCCGTTCACCCTTCAGCTTCAACGCCCACGTGAATGAAGATGCGTTAAAAATCTCTATATGTTTTTATTCGTGAATTTCCACAACACACAGAATATAAATCTTATAACATTTATTCAGACTAGCTTAGAATGGTTTACATCGTCTTCTCTCTCCTTATCGAAAGATATCGGAGTCGTATTTATACGTTGATCATAAATCCAATTAAATGCTGTAAACGTGAGCTCGTGATTCACGTTATAAACAGAAACTCCTATTATCTCAATAAGGGTAATTAGGTACATCGTACGAATGGGAACTTAGATATAATTATTTCAATCAGTGCCAAAGGTCTTGAGAATATAGATTTTAATTTGATAATGACTGGATGGAACCTGTTATGTTTCTTAAACTGGTGTAATTTGATTCCTACGAAAGTCTTTGTTCGAATTTTGGGAAAAATTAACTTTGTCATGATGATTTCAACATGAAATGGGGTACATTTGGGGGTTAGTTGCTATAACAGCATGTATTCAATATTGTAAAATTGTAACTGTCTGGTAATATCAACAAATAAACAAAATAAGCTAACTCAGGAAAAATTATATTCCTGGACCTGATTACATGTCAATACCGTCAAAAATATATTGCCGCGCGGCAATGTTTTGGGCATGTGGATGAGAAGTATAAGGCTAGTATAATGAAACGGTCATAACCTTTTTGGTGGCAACAACGTTGGAGACAGATTCGTTATGATGCAGGCAAGAACAGCTATGTAAAGTAACTTTTTGTGGATCCCAAAGCCAAATATTCACATGTAACGCGTAGGAGATACCGATACCGCGCTACCAAAAATATAGCTAGATATCCATTTCCAAAATAGTCTAGCTGCTGGGCTATACTCTACCCTAGTTCGAATGAGAAATTTGTCTGTGCGTCTCACAAATAAGAACAAAACAAACGCCGCTGTATAAATTGAAACTTCGAGCACTTTCAGCTTTTGTTATTTAAAACCTCGGCTTGTATCTCAAACACTGTGCACTATCGATAACAGGTCGTCTTAACTGTACCGGTACCTATCAAATTCGGGACATACATAGCGCAGTATAATTTCATATTTAAAAACGAAACGGCCCATGTCGTGGATGGTATCCTACCAGCACCAGCATTCTAATGTTGTTTTTACAAATAATAGCCTAGGTAAAACGACTTCATTTGTTGGAAATGAACAGTTGAAGAAACTACGTCTCCTCTCGATCAACAGCAAAGAACCGAAATCTTTCCACAGTATACAACGTATCGATTGATGTATCGAACGTTGCTTTCATGATGGATTCAAAATCCTATTGGGATATATGGTGGACGACTAAACTTTTTGTGAACTACACCCACTAATGTTATGCCTCGTTCGTTTGCCTATTTTGGGGGAAATAGTCATTTTTTACAAATGAGTTATAATGTTTACATTTTTTTCTCGGGGTCAAAATAATAGTCTTTATCGGTTTTCATATTTTGTATATTTAAAAATCTCGTAATTCTCTACTTTATAATTTTGTTTTTGATAAATGAAAATATAAGACATTCCCCGAAAATAAGCCTTAGTGTTATTTTTCGAAAGAAAATTGAAATAAGACCCAGTCTTATTTTCGGGGAAACACGGTAGCACCAGCATTCTAATGCTGTATTTACACATAATAACTTCATTTGAAGACGACGACTCATTAACAACTTCTTTGTTGGAAATGAGCAGTTGAAGAATCTACACTTCTACTCGGTCAACAAACGAGATTATCCGGTGGAGTACAACGTTACGATTCATGTATTGAGTGTTGCTTCCACAACTGGTCGGAACTCTGCGGTTCAGCCTGTAGCCAGGTCTTTCGCAGCATAAGTAGTAATAAATGCACAATTCAGCTCAAATTGTATTATTAGAATTATAATCAAATCGCATATTTACATTGAAATATGACACAATCAAGATTCCTAATGACTGGTCTAGCGTTGCCTGTTCACTATATAGATTGCTAGACAAGCTAATATCACTGATTGAAGTATATTTTGTGGAATATCCACCTTATTATTGAAATATCAGGTAAATAAATAGGTTCGGACAAAACTTGGTGAAACTAGTGAAGTAAAACTACTTACTGTGAAAAATACACTCTTGAAACTATGGTATTACTTTAACAGTAAATATATACAGTACTACTACTAGATGTCCAACTCCGGAGTTGCACTGCCAAGTGGCGGGCGTCACGGTCGGTAGGTTCAGACAACGTGCTTATCGACGACGACGCGCCTGCATCAGAGCTCGCAAAAGGACGTGGTGAATTTGATAAAAAATGAACAAATATATGTAAAAATGAAGACACAGTCTGTCTTGCAAATGACCAGGATGACGTGACAGCTTTCTTGTCGAAAGAAAGCAAGGCATCAAAAATGCGATGCATTGCAAAGAATGTCAGTCAGATGTAGGTAAAGTGGTGACGAAAATGAATACTGTGCACCTTATATAAAACAAACCTTAGCAGTATAGCGTTTTGGTCTCACTCTATCTCAAGTATTGTACCTTTTACAGAAGTTTTATTCTCCACATGACCTATAATCAGGGCTGCCATAGCGTCCTTATTTCTAAGATTTGTCCTTATTTTGAAGGCCTTTGTCTTAGAAAATTTTTTTTTTTTAACAAACCTCCTCATTTTGTCATGTGTCCTTATGAATGAATATACCGGTGAATTAAACATCAAATTTGCTTTAGATCTAAAACTTCATAAGATATAAAATGAGTAAACGCAAAAACATTTGCTGTGATGATTATGAGAAAGAATTCAACAGCGTCAAACGAAACGAATGGCCAGTGTTTTGCGCACTGCAGCTTTCGTGAATGTGACATTAACCTGGAATCCATAGGTAAAGAAGCAATTTCTGCTCACAATGCAACCCAGATAACAGAAGCACAAGGACTCTGCTCAAGAAATTGAATTAAACCAAGAGTCAATGATTATACAAGGGTCGCACTGCATGAATACATTCTGTTTATTACATTTCATTTATTGTTATTTTATTACTATGTTTCCCTGTCCTTATTTTGGGGTTCATATCGATGGCAGCACTGCCTATAATACTAAATCTAAAAGCGTAATAAACACTAATCTCACAGTCGAAGAAATCGAAATTGTAGATTACTCAGCAGGATATGTTATTAAACAAAAATCTATCACAGTGAAGGAAGGGGGTCTGACAGATGTTTGGTCTACTATGGTAAATTTAGAGCCCTCCATATGTTGGAGAAGCAATGAAATGTTGCTGTTTTTTTTATCCTATAACAGAAAAATATGAGTAATAAATGAGTGGTATGCAGCTGTATAGCATTTTTTTGTCAAAAAATCATTGGGCTAATCACCTGTTGTTGACTTCCAGTGTGTAAAATAATTTATGAAATTTTGGCTGATCCACTGCAGTCTTTTGTCTCCAGATGTTTCAGAGGGAGTAGATTTCCGTTGTTAGGGAGGCCACGTCAGTAGTGCTGCTGCATATGCCAAGAAAGGGAATCTACAGTTTGCAATACTTGGCAGTTGCTTCAAATTCAGACATTTCCAAAATCTCAGCTGCAGGAAGAACCTAGAAAGAAAAATTTCCATGAACTCAGGTTGTGTACCAGGTTAGGGTTCAGGTTGTGCAACATCTTGGTGCGCATACTTCAGGAGGTCCGTTTTTAAATTATTGATTTGTGATAAATAGCAATAACTTTTTTGTTACTGCAAAATTCACCACATTCATTAAATTTAACGTGCCAAAAAGATTTGAAAAAAACGCTCAAATTCGAAAACGCAGTAACATATCCAAACTGTAACTATTTAAACATATAAGATTATGATTGCTTGACTATCATGTTAAACATTAATGCAATGCCTCGTTCATTTGCTGATTTTGGAGAAATCATCATTTTTAAAGTTTCATAATGTTTACATTCTTTATCTTCTCCCTGACGTCTGTACTCAGTGGTGATATAAATTTTTGTAGCCCATCTGGTTCATGTTCTTCGGACACGAAATGGATCCATGAATCGCTTTCACATTATGTTGTTAATCACCTTATTGGTATTCCTTTTCTTTCTCTCATTTGTTTTAAAACGTCATGTGCGATGGCGTCATAAAAAAATTGCGCATCTTGTGGCGTATACATTTGCGTCAGTCGTGAAGTTCGCGGTACGTTTTGGCTTCGCATTCGTCGTGAGACCTGCCGTACCGGTACGGTAGTCTACTGTGATAGATTGCATACCCGTACTACTACGTGTCTATATATTTGAGCATCGCTATTCCGTTCCATTGGCCACGTCGAAACCACTGTATTGTTTTTATTTTTAGTGGTCTCCCAATTGCCCACAAAATATCCAACTCACTTTTACACACCGGAATATGCTATCGAAAATTTTCATTTATTTTCTGCTTAAATAATTTTTTCATTTAATCCTTCGTTATAAATATGGTATGGAATATTTAATTACGAAAATATTCTATGTCCCAACACCCAATGGTATGGAACTGTCGTCATGCAATATATACAAGATTTTTACTGCGATATATATGATAGTACGCCAATTCAGTGATGGTATTCGAATAAGTTCGGTCGTTATATTTATTCAGAGTGTTAGACACGTTTTCCAACCTTACCTTACATTAGATATTCTGAATACAACCGCAGCAAAGAGTATTGTTGTGGCAATAACATTTTCACAGTTTAGAGGCAATGATATATATATAATGTTCAAATCAGTAAGCTAGTCTTCCTTCTAGGCTGGACGAGTAACATTTTTAAAAGTATGGCTTGAACAATAGGGTTCCATTTTTGGAGATATTACAAAGTAGCTTGATTGTCAAATGGTGAAATGCAAACTCCAGCAAAGCACAATTTATAAAGCTATTGTAAATCGTCACGTTCGCACAGTGAATTTCGTTGTCTCAGATATCCTTCAAGCATATATAAATACTGTAAATACACAAACAATTCAACAACAAAATCTAACAGCATAATCGTTGCATATTCCGTCACTCTGCCTTGAGTTTTCGCAGCACAAGCCATTTTTAGATATTTCTAATAGATCAGTTACTATTTCCAATGGTTTTCCATCCGCGAATCTAATGTCGATAGACGTGGGTGTAGGACAGACGTCATCAATATTCAGCAATCGTATCTTCCAGAGTGTTTCAAAATCTCCCGTGGTTCCTTCTGGGTGGAATGTGTTATACCATTCAGTCCACGTTCCGTTGCAGAATTCGGCTTTAAATTTTTGCAATATTGGAAAAGTGGCGTTCAATGCACGAGCGAATGAAGTGGGCTCATTGGCACGTTTGCATGTTCTTAAAATGGGCATTAAAGGAGAACTCGGAATTACTATTTTGTCCAGTATGATGTTAGAAATGCATTGACCGTCCTGTAATAAAAGCACACTATCTAAAACAACCCATAAATAATATATTCGAGATATATTGCAATATTACGTAGAAAAACACAGCCATAGGCCACTACTTTGTAAGAAATTATTTACGTTGTCGATTGCAAAAGGAGAATCCACAGCAGGACTCAATGTACAGTAGAAGTATAAGACAATATATATATATATATGAGTATATAAAATGACAATATATATATATATTTAAAAATTGTGGAGACCCCCTTGATTACCATTTGATTTTCTCCGTGGCTGTGAACAACACATCTTCTGTCTTTCATCTCTCGGGAATTTCTAGGCAAACCGAAGTTTTTGCTATTGAAAAAAAAATAAAATGTTCAAAAGTGGACGGTCATATTGGTAAATGGTAATGATCAATCATCTATGTCTATGGTATACGTATATATTAGTGTTTATAATCTAGTTCTTGTCGACTGGTTTAATCATAACATATGGGAACGAGATTAAATGGAAATCGCTTACGAAAAATATTAGTTTACCTGCAACGCGAGAAATCTTCCCACACAAAGGATAAGATTGACTTCAGTTCGTCTTCACTTTGCTCAAGTTGAGTTCGAGAAGTCCCTTGGGATAAATGATATTGAGTAACAATAAATGCAATATATCATATTTTTTGAAAACTGACTGATTTCCGGGGGTCTAGGATTTGAATATCCTAATAAGTATTTTTGAAACCGAGTTACAGACACAATAATTCGATGTCGATTAGAATCCAAATGAAAGTGTTCTAAAGATTTGATCAGATGTAAGCTCGAAAAATTGCAAATGTTCAGAATATTGGGATATTTTGTCACACGACTTGATCTGGAAAACAATCTAGAATAGTCTTCTGCGAGATACATAGTTGTGCTTTTGGAATGGCGCTCAGAATCCTTAACATACGAGACTAAACAAATCGGAAATAAAAAAGTTGAGAAAAATGGTAAAATATCATTTTTCTTGTTCCTTTTATTCGTGTTCACAAATGTTAAGTAAGCTAGGTATATAACTTTGATGTGATTGTATCTTTAAGGATTTCGAGATTGTCTAAAAACAATTAATTAACCATTTAAGAACATTTATTTAATGCGACAAAAATAGTTACGTCATTTCAGCATAAAATTCAATTCACTTAAGCAAAAAAATAGTTGTTTGTTCGACTGGAAAAATTGTTTTGATAAAATGGCGGTGTTATCGGGTTGAGTCATCAAGATTTTTATCTCCGCTAAAAAATATTCACATTCAAAAAGTCAACGATAAACGTTTTCTTTGCAAAGGCGTATTTACTAACGGCAATGAATCAACGTACACTGCAACAAATAACAAAAACCTTCTTTGATTTGATTTAAACAGTACAACGTAAACCGATGGCTCAGATTTACATATAAAATTGCACGATGGGACCAAATGATAAATTAAACCAATTCAAGATATGTATACGTTTTATCAAATATGCCTTCTTTTGATAAACTTGGCCATTTTGGCATTTCATTCTGCTTTCAAATACATCATTATGTCAAGAAAAAAATAAATGAGGTTGCTACTTGTTCCGTAATTTCTTCATTTTTTCAAAATCATCGACGATAATATTTTGTGTTTCAATCCATATTCATATTTACTTGACATGAATAACTTGAAAAAGTTTCGTCAAAAAAGTCAATAATGTAATGCGCCTTTGGAGTTACATTTTGTTTTGCATTCATTTCTTTTGTCATATTTTATTGCACAGAGGAATAATCAATATTACTAAGATTTGATATTACAACAAATATGAATGCATCAAAGCTGTTGTCGCAATTTTGTCTTAATCTTATATTACATTACTCGGTGTTTCAGTTTTCTTTGTTCATCTCCAGATAGAACACACATATCATTCAAATAATGGAATAGTGACATTTAATGCTCTGAATATTGTGTCAACAAATATGAATCTTTTCGGTGCATAGGATGCATGTTGTTTCAAAATGGTCTGGTGACATATTTTTGTTCTAGATTCAACATATATCCTGATAGCATACTTGACTTTTTCAAATTTAATTCCTCACTTCATTCGGACTAAAAATAGACTTCTTCAAAAATAAACTTACTTCTTTCAGTTTGCTTTGTGCATTGATAATACTTCGTAAAATCTGCGCAATCATCAGCAGCAGCTTCGTCTAAAGTTGCAGATACTTGGGCATTACGCTGAGAAACCCTATTTATTCTCTTACTTTTTTCCTCCACTGCTGCAAATGTTTGCTTAATGGTTGTGCTTGGCATCGTCGTAGTTTTAAATGTTGAAGTTGGGATGGTTGTTGATGTAGTAGTGCGAGGACTTAGGAGGAACGGGTGAGCAAGTCGAAAATCCGTTATTAAATTTATGTCGTTGTATGGATCGTCTAAGTCATACAAATCATTGTTTTGATTCTCAAATATAAAAGTTAAAAACTTTTTAAAGTTGCTCTCAATGCCGAGAAGAGTATAAAAATCACTTTGTATGCTTCTTTTACCTCGACCTGAAATAAATAAATTATTCATAATTTTATAACCACTATAATATTAATATGAATTTCCAATAATGATACTCAATTTGTAATTACAACTGTGCAATTTTGGACAATGGATAGCTATCGGATTATACAGAAAGCATATTAAAAACCTTTTTTTGAAAGCATTCATTTATGAAACTAGGACATCAGTAAATTTTCGAACTTGTGAACTTGTCGTAAGTACTGCAATAAGCATTCTATGAGAATACGTGTCGAAGTATCTTTATCACTGACTTTGTGCTCCTTATTATATGAGGGTGATGTAAATTATTTATCATTATAATACGTTGAAAATAAGGTAATTGAAAATATGTGGTAAACATAAGCAATTTTCAGACGAATTTTGGTCAATATCGACGAGTGTGTTTGTGCGTCAAAGTAGAAAATGAAAGTGTAAATGGAAAGAGTATAATAGAAAATGATGGTGCTCCTGAAGTATGCGCACCAAGATGTCGCATAACCTGAAACCTAACCTGAGTTCAGGTTGTGCGCCATCTTGGTGCGCATACTTCAGGAGGTCGAAAATGATATAATCAAACATTATGTACGCAAATACTCAGGCTTGTCCATGGGACATATTTTTCTGTAACATTCCCATCCCACAGCAAGTATGCCTGTCCCATCGCATCCCATGGGATTCCCATTGGAATACAATTGAATGAAAATTGGTAAAATTAGGTTTAGCGTCTACTAAATAGGACCACATGTACGAAGAAAAATGCAAAACAACAAAATTTACGGATTTCGTTAACTTTATATTTATAACTATATATTATACATGTGTCCATCAGCTCCTTCGCGAAGTATATTTTTAATGCTGGATATATTTTGCTCTTTATAATTAACAAGAGAGCTATGCTCAAATATATGGACACGAAGTCCATAACGAAATGTTTTACCATCATTTCCCCGAAAATCATACGGTTTTCGTATCCCATGGGAAATACAAATGTGTACTATCCCATCCCATGGGACATTTCCCATGGGAATCTCATTCCCATGGACAAGCCTGCAAATTCTTTTTCAGTGTGTCAGGGGGAAATGAAATTGAAAGGATACAACTTTACTTTTAATATCTAATTCTAAAAATACGAAAAAATTGAAAACATATTTTTCATCACAACCAATGAAATATTCTATACCACAGGGCATGTGATCATGATATCAATCAACATCCTCACCAGTCAATTTACATTGTGTATCATTTTCAACAAATGAAATTGTAGTGATATGCTCGGTATCCAACAATTTGAGTAAATACATAATCAATTGATTTACTTTGAATCAGTAGTTTTCAATCCGGGTTCTGCAGCGAGACCAGTGGTTCCGTCAGCACAGTACATAGGTCCCACAAGTCTCCATTTGATTCCCAGAGTTCATATTTATATTTGTCACGCTAATAACCGAATTGCGTAAGTTATTTTTGGCGATTTTGACTTTTTTATAAAATAGGTATTTATGTGATGCTGCGCACCTGTCTGTTAAATCAGATTTTATTTTAAGAATTCCGAAACCCATAAAAATGGAAATTTACTATGACATGAACATTTGTGCAATTGTTTCGTCATAATAAATTATCATTGTTAACCACAGGACTATTGTGACGTCACAAGGGCAAAATAACCTCTGCTAAGTATTTTCGAGTTTTTGCATTTCGGATTCTAGCTTAGCGCGTATTAATTTGAATTTATACTACAGTATAGGAAGGCGTGCACTTGTGACATTCACTGTCCGAGTCCAATTCACCTTGAGTGGCTTTTATATTGGGTGCATTGCTGTTTTATTCTTTATATTTAATCTTAGTCTTATTTCGGTAGGTGTGCAGAACGATGTTATATATATTGATGAAATATATATTTTTAAACATAAAAAATAAAGTAATTGGAACTGATTAGTTGTTTTGGGGATTAGACATTGTAGATACTGAGAATTACATTCGTTTTTGGAATGTTTAGTTTTCAGGACTGGTGCATATAGTAAAGTTGCAAAATTGCGTATGTCCCCAAGTCATAGACACGTTTCTGCCTAAGTCACAGTGCGCCAATATGACGTAACTTAACTGCGTCATACAAATTAACTTAAATCCGGCTACGATCAAAAAATTGAACCATGGCAAATTATTGACTCTCAATGGCATAACAATATCATTAGGAATTTTTTACGTTTTTTTTCAAAACTGCTAAAAATGACTTACGCAATTCGGTTATTAGCGTGGCGATATGTATATTGTTTAAATATAGTTCAAATAGATATTTTGTTTGAGGCTGATATTGAACTTGCCACCCTTCAAAGATCAGTTTTGCCAGTATTAGGCTTGCTTTTATATACATTTATAGTTTATACAAGTCAGGTATAAAAGACAAATAAACTATTGCACGGGGGTTCCTCGGGCTTTTGGAATGTTTCTTGGAGGTCCGCTCGTCCAAAATGGTTTAAACCACTGATTTAATCAATAATTAGTTATCTGTTCTATTCAATTTTGTACTCTTCATGATATTTAACGTACCTGACAAATTTTTATTAGCATAATTTTTGACACAATATCTTGCGGGAAAGTAGTACTCCGATTTTCTGTCAATGAGGAACGTGATCATATTTTTCCAACAGTCCTTGGTGTCTTTGTTTCTACTAGAAATATGTATATATATGTAAAATTATTTAAACAACAACAAAGTCAGCAAAGTAAAACGTATGCACGAAGAGGAAATAATATTTAAATAAGAGCTTTAACTAGAATTCATTATTTAATTAAATATCTTTGCGCTGTTACAAAGGTTGCCAGTCATGTCTGCTATATTTATCGGAATCGAAAAAAGATCTCAGTCGAACAAGATGGAAAGTTTGATTTAAAAAATTATGTATTGACTCTAATAGGTGGTTTTTCAGGTTAGCTATTATATTCCTACATATTCCATTGGGTGTATTATTTATAGCACTACATACAGGTTGGTTTACATAAACGCATACATTGAATTGCTTGGGATTGTAAGTGGGCGGACATATTGCGTCTAGTTTGGATTTGTTCCCAGTCTGAAGCAAATTGAATTAGTGTTTTCTTGGTCACGAAGGCAAAAAATAAACTTAATCGGTTGCAATACAAAATACAAGCAACCATTTTAAATACACGTATCGAGTGTATCTCTTCTTTGTGATCATGTTTCTTATCTTTCCTACAAAATATATATAGTTGACTAATTGTCAAAGACTATTGCAATTCATGGAATTCTTCGCGTTCGGGGATCAGATAATTCATTCGTCTTTATAGCAAGATCAACTGCTTACCTACAATAAAGCAAATCGCCTTCAGCAAACCACTTTGTGTCCAGTACAGTAAATTTAACAATAGTTGGGATCGATTTTCGTCGTCTTGACATTACTCTTGAAAGGCAATCTGAGAAGAATTCAATTATTTGTCGATTCTCATCTTCTTCGAGAGAAAACAGATTGCGTTGACGACGCCTGGGCTTTATTTTTTTCCCTCTGTGACAACCTTTGACAGAATGAAATTTTTGAGCTACTGTATTAATTTTGTACTTCAATTATAGTATGAGCCTGGAATCATTCTTTAATCCTAGCTTAACTCGGAACAAAAAAGTTAGATTCATATCCATAGATTCGTTTACTCTGTTTTGCAGTATGCGGTATGTTATCATTGTAACATCGGGATGAACGAGTTCAGCTTAAAACAACCGCAAAATGATTTCATTTGTGATATTGTTACCAAAGATGAAAGACCAAAGAATTTTCTAAGATGTCCAATGGTGAATAAAGCGCGAAAAACTATACATTTTTCATATCCACCAAATGATATATAATACAAAATCTTTAACCATATAACATTAGAATCTTATGTCAAACATTATTGCAACATTTCTCACAACAGTAAATAAAAGGTCGAATTATAACACGTGGTTATCGCCATGTATTTCTGCTATTCAGACATAAATTTATATTGTTAAAAATGTTTCAGCGCACACAAGTCACAAAAATTAAATGGAAACTTCACATATGGTTTTTCGAAAACCCACATTAAAAAAAAATAAATATTGAAAATCCAAATAAATCACTCACCTGTGGCCAGCATAACCAAACTGGCTAATATACAGAATATTACTAATGTCGTTCTCATGCTGTTTTTCATATAAGATTTTACTGAAACTAAAAACGTACTTTTTTTAAAATATGTTTGTTATTATCAAACATCATAGGCTCAAATGTCTTACCGATCAATAATTCCATCTATGTTGACTGACAGGCGTTCGTGCTTTATACTATCAAGTATTAGCTCGGGGCAGTTGAGGCGTTTCAGTAAAAATTTCGCACACTCTATAAATAGTTCATTAAACTTTTGCTTGCATTTAACAGTAAATGGTATTATGATATTTAAACATTTGGGTTAACATAATGGATATGATTTGATTTACTTTCATTCCGATAGGCGAAACGCCCTAGATTCAGCAATATCAACGATCGGTATTAGTGAGATATAAAAAGCGCGTGGGGATGTTTTTTTTCGCCACATTTACATGTGGTTTATTACATTTATCATTGGCGTCATTCGGAATAAATATTGATCATTGTCAAGGCAAAATTTATGAATGCTGAATTTCATGTACGAGAGGCAGAGTATTGTTTATCAAGTTTTATTTGTCCTATTGAACCATATTTCTTTAAATAAATTAAGTCAACTTCAAAAATCCTACGTTTGTCTGTATCAATATATTTCATTTGACACCGAATTGATTGTTTGTGATCTTATTCTCTAAAACTTGAAGGAAATTCTCCGACACGTTGCTAGTAGCACTCGACCATAAATAATCTGGATTATTGCGGTAATCCCATGCCAAAGCAACGATATGTTAGACCGCAACACACTACGACCACAGTTTATTACGTTGAACAAAGAGCTTGTTATGTGCCAAATACACAATGATTAAATAATATTTAACATCAGAAACCAATATTTCAAGGCGTTACACTTTTTACGCTTCATGCTAAATGAAAGAAAAATATGAGCATGTTTACGAGTCATGATTACATTTAATTCTATATATATATATATATATATATATATATATATAGTGTTATTTAGCTCAGAAGTGAAATTGACTTAAAAACATTTAAGTTCAAAGACCATATTCCTGTTTATAAGCTACGGAAATCACTCTACGTGTATGTTTTCCTGTTTCTGCTCTAAATACTTGAAGAGCTGAGGTTTAGAAAAATGTACTACTGAATTCAGGTTTGGTCGACATACCTACTAAATCTCATGTCAAGTTATATGCTGAGCTCTCGACTCGGGCAAGTAGAGACAAGCAGTATGCGAACACTGCCACAATTCAGAACTTGGTCGCTGCAATAAAATTTATCAAAGGTGAACTGAGTATCGCTTTTCCATTGCGCAATTATCACATGATGAAGTTCATGTTGACATTGATTTAAAATGATAAAATAACGTTATTCTTCCACTTTTTTAAGGTCGAATCGAGAACGCGACGTCTTAACCTTTATAGAAGCATTTCTCTTCACATAAAATATAATCTTTAAATCTAACCACAATCACATTTGTCTGTACAAAACTCTTTTGCGGTTGTCCGCTCTTAAAATCTGAGTAGTACCCTCTTAAAATCTGAACGCAAGATGATTAGTCAAATTATTGAATCAAATATTATTTATTTTCGTGTTTTTTCATATCATATATTTTTTTTTTAGAAATATATTTCGAGAAGAAATTTTACTAATTTTAATTTTTCTTGGTTGAGTTCAATGTATCCATGTTGAAGATTGAATCTTTTGCCGAATTTCAGTATTCAGTTTCCGTTTTCTGTAAAACAAAAACATTCTAACATATTGTATACAAACTAGAGCAGTGGTTCTTAACCTTTACGAGCTTGCCGAACCCTTCCGCTATTCTGCAGTCTCCCGTCGAACCCCATCGCAGTGAACGGTTAAAATTAGGAGCCCAATTCAAACTTTATAAAGGGGAAGCTAATTTCGTGCAAGTTTATGGAAAATGAACATTGTGGCGTGACCTTAGCTAACAATACCCCGTTTGGAAATATTCATTGTTTTGTCACAATAGGGTCGGCGACAGGGTAAGCAGATGTTTTATTTTGTATAATAAGTTATGCGTGTGAAAAAGCGAAAACTGATACAAAAAAAAATAGCAACTTAAAAAATATAACAGATGATAATATGCTTCAAAAACCTTTCATAGTTCAAGTCATTCTTTTCTCAAATTTCAAACTGCAATGAAATGCGGATAAACACGTTTTATTTTACGGAAATAGAGATAGGATATGCCTCGGCGCCATATTGATCGAGGTTGTCCGTAACGAATGATGATGATTTCAAGCAAAGCGCTGCAATGATGTATCCTTTGTCGCAAATTAATCACCTAGCTGGTGAAATTCAAACACGCTCTGATTTTTCATTTATTTATGTACATTTAGTCTACTGCCAATCTTCGATTCATCCGTAAAACCGAGATAAATTTTATTAGTCACGCACATATTCATCTAAAAATTCCTTGATTTGTCATAACAACTTAAGATATTTCAAAACCATAAGCAGAAAACATCTGAAAATGCTATCACAGATGAGTACACACAAGATTTGAGCATTCAATGAAATGTACTAAAATCTAAGGTGTAAGAAACTGCAGGTCCACTAAACTTATATCTGAGCGAAGCTATGCTCACAGCTAAGCTGATTTATTAGTTGAACGTTTAAGTTTGAATATCTGCGATGAACTTTTGTTATTTTTGCATAATTAGTAGGCTATCACCGGGGTTCGGTCGAACCCAGATTAAGAAACTCTGAACTAGAGGGACATGGTTTTGCTATACAGGCTGCTTGTACATCAAAATGCAAAAATTATCTCTCTGAACAAGTACTGTGCCGTAATTTTTCTTATGTATAATACAAGTGCTATCAATTGCGTTTCTGCGGGACCAATTACTTATCCCCTTATATGGTTTTGCGCCGCTAGATTCGTACGAATATAAATCAAGGATGCGGTAGCAAGTGTGAAGATAACTATCAAGAATCTTGCTGCATAATAACACAAATATATTTCTGTAACTTTGAACTATGTATATCCGAGAAAATTTGATTTTGGTTAATCGAAACGTTACAGAAATATATATTTGTTAGTGTGCAATCACTTGAATCATTCACGATAATAGTGTTTGGCATTTATGCACTTACCCGATTTCATGAGTTCACTGATCCCGAAACTTTCATCTGGCTGGTCTGTCATTGATTGATCAACTGAATTCACTATCTTTTCGGCATCTTTCACCGAGTCAAGATCTATGTTCTGTAATATTATAACTTCGATGTCGAATAAAATCCAAAAAATAGAATAAAACTGCGTGTAGTATAAACAGTGTACCAAATGTACGATTTCCAGTAAAGTTGAGCAGTATATATATGAATTCTGTAGCATGAATTAGCGGATCCAGCAACTTTGACGTAAAGTAACTCATTTTCTTATATATATACGTGGAGGATATTATTGCAATAATGAAATTATTTCTCCGAATATCGGTCCGGTAAATTGCATGCTTACGCCATGAAACAAATCTTGTGCTGTGCATAGTTATCAGAACATTCTGCATTGAATGTTACTTTTTGTTATCAACTATAATGACACATTCAAAACAGAATTTATCTGTATCAGACTGTTATTTTGAGGTTTTATTGTTTAAAGTAAACTGTTGGTAATGCCGAGAAATTAGCTAGTTTTGTATGTATGGAGTAGGCTACGATGAATACAGTACATTAGAATGAAGCATCAAAATGTATAAAAAGAACATCCTACGTTTTCTTCCATGGCACGCATATAGTCTGATAATTCAGCTTCGTTATCTCTCGAATTGTTTTTCTTCTTGTTTTTTCTTCTCTTCTTTTTTTGTTTCTTCTTTTCATTTTTCTGATCTTGTGTTGATTGTTCTTGCTCGTTGTTGGTCTTCTTCTTCTTCTTCTTCAACAAGTCGGCGCCGGCTGAGATGATTTTTCCAGCAGCTCTACAATATAAAAATAATGTTATTGACAACCGTGTGCCGAAACAGGTTTGGGTTTGAAAAGCGGGTGCTATTACTTATTACCGCTACAACATACTGTTCTTATAACACTCATGTATTTTAAAAAATTAGATGATTTTGTGTTCGGCCGTTTCAGGCTAACGTCTCGCTTTCAAAAAGATGATACAGAAAATTGAAGGGACTAAAACTAATATTTATTTGTTGTTTAGTCAATTTGATTTAATTTTCTCGCAATATAATACAGGACAAATTACTTCATACGCATAAAGCGACCTTATAACTTACCCTGGTGCTGGAGCTGGGACCTTGCCCTCGGCAAGTTGCATTCCCGTACCAATCGCATTTCCCAACGTCAATCTGATAAAATATATTAGTTATTTAGTTCCATAATATTTTATTTTGTCAACTCAAAACAACTAATGAGAAATCGAGTAGGTAATTTTAAAAGATAACGACGATGCTTTTTAAGTTCGTTTCGATTTCGCGGTATTTTGATTGCTTGCCTTAACGTATATATATATACAATTTGCAATGATTGATGGTTTTTATTAAAGGTAATTATCATTATTGTTAATGACGCATGATTGCTTTTCCTAAGCCCATTTAAGACACTTTGTGTGTTGTCAGGTATTGTTTCATTGAAATTCGATATGTGCTGGAATTCCTGCATGCATGCATCTTAAATTACCAAGTAGTAAACAAAGAATTGTAGATACCTTTTTTCTGTCGTTAACTTTTTTTTATCTATATGCTAAGATGCTTGAATCATTAGAGGTATTATATTACTGTTAAATCAAATTTTGATTTTTCAAATCAGAAATGAATGTGGAAAACAGATGAAAATATGTTAAACTTACTTTTGCCCGGTGTATGCTTCGTATCCCTTCGATACAACATTTTTAGCAGTTTTGAATCCTTTGCCGATAGCTTTACCGACTTTTCCAAAGAATGCCTCACTTGGATGCAACTGAATAATCAGTACCGCCAAACAGACAACAAAAAACTTGGGACGCATTTCCTATTAATTCAATATGAAAAATGAAAATTTTGCCATGACGTACGTATATGTAAATAATTATATTTTTGTAGAATCACGTTGTGTTTTTTTTATCTCCCAAAAAACACTGACAAGTTTTATGTTAGGTACCCGTAATGTGGAGGTGTGACACCACACTTTAATAGCTTATCTTAATATAATTGTATTTGAATCACCCGGAAGTGGCCTATATACCAGTAACATATCGTGAGTAAAATGCATAACACATTTCCATAAGTTACAAATAGTTTTATCGCTAATAGCAAAATATTTACCACCCCTATATTTAGAAACAACACCACCCATAAAGTTATTTAATATCAGATTCCCCAGAAGGTTTAAATAAATCTTATGCTCGCTTATTTTATCACATTTTAGTAAGAGATATTTGTTCTTCATTTCGACTTCTCTAAAATATATCAATACATAGATAAATTATCACTTACGTTCGCGTACACCTGTTCAGACTCGTGACAATACTCCAGGGGGATAAGGTTTTCATCAATGCATGTGTATGTCTCTTATATACGTTATATCGTGTTCCAAAGTAACATATGCTAACAAGCATGTGGCTTTTGTTTTGACGTATTTCACACTTTGTCCTTCATGAATTGTATAATCAAACATAAAATGTAACATTGTTCACAAGATGTTACGAAACGCGTATGGTGAAACAAACCATAGGGGTATTGTTAAAAAGCTTGTGACTTGTCTTAAACGTTTTCTGCATTGATGGTTTTGTATTTTAAAAACATCAGGGTGTGAATTTTAATTTTAGGTTACACCTTCGGTATAAGTATTTAGCGCGCAATTATCCAAAAGATTCACTGATCTTATATTAAATAAACGAAGTGTACATATCGATTTGCTAAATTCCCGTTTCTGACATTTTTCTAAACTGTTGTTGGGGAATAAATCGCTTTTTCGTAGTCCTGTGGGGCTCAATGTATCTCCAGGAATATTGCGCATCCACGTAGCCTCACTCCAGACAAGCCCGCAATCTTTTCAGCAAAGCCAGTACTCACTGCACTGCTATGGCTTACCGGTACCGATGTGAACTTACGGTAACAGGACGTGATTTGCAATTTTGATTCGGAGATTTTGAATGATCAAATAAACGGATTTCATTGTAAGTGGCATAGTGTGACGAGACTGGAATTGCCTTTTTTTATTGGTCAATTTCTTTGCATTGCCGTGTGCGAAGTCGGAGCTGTGATTTCAACTGACATATTTCCGAATGTGTCGGATTTGACTATTCTTGATTGACGTCGAGTTCCTCTGTCCCCCTGACCTTGTTTTTAGCTACCCTTCTCTCTTCTTGACTGACCGTCGCCAACGTTTGTTGCTTTGTATTATATCTGCTACAATCTGTGTATTCCTACTGGGAAATAAAGTTCTTCACTAGCGTCATCAAACTATCAAACCTATTGTGTGGCATCATACATCTTTTGAGGATTTTACAGACTTGGCCAGCACATTTAATCGCGAATTCGCATCGCTGCAACAGGCTTCCGGAATTGCCAAAGGCAGTTTCAAGTATTTTGTGGGGTCTGAAGCTGCCGCAAAACTATGGCGGGATTTCCAAACCGTGACCGCTATGGCTAAACCGCGACTGACTTTTTAGCTGCCACAAACCAATGGCGAGATGCCGGTACCACGGCAGCAAATTGAAAACCAATGGCGAGTATGATTTTGCTGCCTTAACCAAGGCATGTCGGCTGTAATGGCAGGGCTGCCCCTGATGGTGAAAAATATTGGGTAAGTTGGAACATTTTCCTTATGGATACAGTTTTGATGGATTTGGGGTTAGGTTTCAGGTTCAAGTACATATAATTCTGCATGATAAACTAAAATCTGGTACATGACTTTGTGAATAAACCGGTAATACTGCTTACTGAATAGCGCTATAAAACCATGGCAAGATCTGCCGCTCGATTTCGAACAGTCGAGTTTGAACAGTTGCCTATACTTTCTATATATACTACAATAAATTCCAGCTCTATGGTATAACGGCATTTCATGCATCGCAAATAATAATATGCATGTGGGTGAGTTGTGAAACCTGTTGGATATACAAAATCTCACGCGCCAATGCATTTTCAAAATTTATATCAGAACACATCTGGTGTATATTTTAGAAAATCGTTGACGTATAACATAGAAGGTTCGGTTTAGCCCTTTATAAGGCCTGGAATTCTTTGTTTTTCTGCTGCATTTACAGTTGATGTAACTAGAAATAAATTCTTGGAATTATGATTAAAATGCACAGTATACGTTAAGTTGTTTGGTTTATAGCTAACAATTAAAACCGATGAATTGCAGCTAAACCACGAAAACGAACCAATGTTCACAGCTATGGCTGAATATCTGACGGTGTTAAGAAACTATTTGAGGGTCTGCACAAATTGTAATTGTTATACCAACGTTAACTTATCGCTGATTGATCACTGTTACAGAAATAATCAAGGACGGGGATGTTGGGAAAAGCATTTATTAATATTAAAAATCGCCAAAAAATGTATGTAGTATTTTCATTTTTTGCAAGGGACAATTTTTGAAGGGAATAACAAAATATTGGATATCAATATGCTTCAATATTCATTATTTAGCGCATTATAACAAATTATGCTACACAAAACTGTACTCACAATATATTTTCAATAAACAATGCACCTATTTTACCAACAATTAGCAATTGAAATATTTCACACAAAATGCGTCAGGGTAACTTTACAATGAATGTTACGCTGACATATGCTTTTAAATTGACGCAGGTTTGAGAATTGTTTCTAACATCTGGAACGTTTGTAATGCGAGCATATTATGTTCTGGAGTTTTGCATAAGTAGTCTAGGTTGCATTCTTTTGTTGGGAACATTATCGCCTGTAATTCTTACGTTGTGAAATGTTTCGGTAAAGCTTGGCACGGCTGTTCTGTGTGCAGAAAAGGGTTGATGCTTTGGCAAAAATTCGTATTTCAAATATAATGCGTTTCTGGCTGATTTTGCCGATAACTAATGCAAATGATTCGAAGTCAATGAATGAACATTATATATATATGTAAGAGCTTAACTAGTGCTATAAAATGCGTGACACTCGATAAAATGGTTATTAATTGTTCCTGAAATACTTAAGTTTTCTCCATTCTTTCTGTTCCCACCTTTTTTATACGCCTATGACTTATGGCATTGCTAGTAAATGCCGCTTGTTTTGGCTGCCAGAACTATTTTATTGTGATTCACTTATGATATTTTAAAGACAACGTCACCGACCTGACCAAAAACCACAGCCGTGTATGACGCATTGTGGTGGGTGAAACGCAGACGTCATTGTCTAAAGGCCATATATTCTGACTAGAGAAACGTTATCATTTCATCACCATTTTCAACAAAAATACCGACATGACTTTCAAATTTTGATAACAAATGCAGGTAGGTAAATGTAAATGCATAGGTATTGAATTAAAAAGCATGTTCTCCACACGCATTGTTCAAAAATTTAATAAGTCTACCCAACTTTCGTAATTATCTGCCTTAACCTCTCATATGTATCGGATGATTAGAGATTTAAGTGAATGTATGATTCAAAGTGTTCACTGGTGTCACCTCCCCAACTCCAGGAAGTTGTTTATTTGCGATTTGAATGAACGATGCTGATACATTTGTATTTTATTTATATGCTTGACTTTCGCGTGACTAAAGCTTGTAAAGTAAGTTAGTGCTGACTTCAACGACGTAATGAAGTATAAAAGATAGTGCATGTTTGAAGGCTCTGTTTTGCACACCAGCCGATAGGGACATCACTACAACTGGATAGATAAACCAATTTTCAATTTGGGTCTTTTCAGATGTATCACATTTGTCAAGATATCCTTTGATAGTGTTTTTTTGCCTTTGGACTTTTTGATTTATAGCGTATCATTTTTGTTTAGAAAGGGTTCAGAGAAACTAGATAAACTGACTGAGTTCACAATAGGGTTGGGTCGACACGAAATCCTATGAAATTTCCGACACATCAGCCTCATTTTTGGTAAACAATGACCCACCCCTCTATATTGGGTTCGTGAAAATGGCATCTGAAGATTATCAGAATGAGCGATGAAGTAGCAAAAATAGCTTTGTTTAACCAACTGTGTATCATAGGTCAACGCGCCTTAAAGACTTGAAAGGGCGACTTCTAAAACGACTTAATGGTGGTGTCCGTCTGTTTAGTTTGTCTTCGGTCTGTTGAAAACATAAAAGTCATGGCAACAGTAATAACAACGCTGATTTTACGAAATGTCAAATTCGTATAGTCTGCAAAGTTTTAATAAGAACTGCATAGTTGTTACGATAGATTACCATCAGATCCCACCGAAGGGGCGTATGACTTAGCATGTGTTATCAAATATACACACAGTTGACATTTCAGTTTGACCTATTGATTAATCCAGAGCGTTGAATTACATGAAGCACAGGTTTACTATTTTACATGGGGTGATCATGAATGTTCGTATATTTCAACACTATTGTTATTTGCATCTTTCTGGTCTTACGCTACGAAAAGATCTATGGTTAAAAGCGACGTTCAAACAACGCAAAACATTGCGCATGATCATAAATATGCGTTCAATACATCACCAAAGCAAAATAAGCGGAAATTGATAGCAACATTCCGTGATCTTCAACACCTGAGGAATACTCCAGCAGCAATGTTTATGATGATACCACAAACTTAATTCTTTTTTCGTGAGCTTCAAAATCATGTTGTAGTTCACACTTCCATAGACAGGTAAAGACCTGCTTTATTTATTTTGAATCCCAACTGCCAAATGCCTCTAGTAATTAAACATAGTTATTCGGAAAATAGGAAAGTCGGTAATACAGATTAATATTATGTCAAACTGCAGTATGAAATCCGGCAGTATGATCATTACTTTAGATAAGTTGATACAATATCAATCTGTCAAAATGACTATTCAATCAGCTTTACTCGAACGTCGCATAAAAACAATTATTCAAATCTATGCATTCGATTTGTTATTAAATATTAGCAAGTTTTGTTCAAAGAAATCTGATTTAAAGCATATTATACATAAAAAAGTCAATTCGGTTCTCGGAGGTACTCACCCCTATCAACGAGATGTTAAATTAGTTCGAACCAACAAACAGTTGTTATCCGAGATATATTGAACTATTTCATACAACTTTAATATTGCGTCACATTCACCAATATCTTTGATCTATTTTTTATTAGATTGATTCCAAGCGAATAGTTGAAATTTGCGAAAAAATAACCCATAATATGGCTCCAATAGCACCGCTTTTCTCAATGTTAAGTTCTGTAATTGGCTTTAATGAAGAGGAAAAAGCACACAAGAATTTAATATACAATAATGCCCTTCCTTTCAACAGAATGCAGCACACACAAAATAAACTTATTCGTAAGGTTAATTAGGCACGTTTCAGAGGGGTAGTGGTTTTCATTTAATACTTTGTAAAGGAAATTACACCAACCTGCGTCATAGGTAAGGAGTGTATATATACGCCCTTACTATTTTTAATATAAGAAATCAACTTTGAATTAAATTTTTTTTTACTATTTAGAAAGCTGTACCCGACGATACAAATGATTTATGGCTTAAAAAATATGTTGGGATCGACAAGTAATTTGTTGACTTTTAATTATCCAAACCATTCAGATCTATTT